TACTTTTAGTAATGAAAATCATCTTCCCAACTCATTTTTCTTCTTTTCATGTTGAGGTGCTCGTACTTTTAGTAATGAAAATCATTTTCCCAACTCATTTTTCTTCTTTTCATGTTGAGGTGCTCGTACTTTTAATAATGAAAATCATCTTCCCAACTCATTTTTGTTCTTTTCATGTTGAGGTGCTCGTACTTTTAGTAATGAAAATCATCTTCCCAACTCATTTTTCTTCTTTTAATGTTGATGCTCGTACTTTTAGTAATGAAAACCATCTTCCCAACTCATTTTTCTTCTTTTGATGTTGAGGTGCTCGTACTTTTAGTAATGAAAATCATCTTCCCAACTCATTTTTCTTCTTTTCATGTTGAGGTGCTCGTACTTTTAGTAAAGAAAATCATCTTCCCAACTCATTTTCTTCTTTTCATGTTGAGGTGCTCGTACTTTTAGTAATGAAAATCATCTTCCCAACTCATTCTTCGTCTTTTAATGTTGAGGCGCTCCTACCGCCCTCTCGCCTTGTCTTGTCTTGTCGCCTTGTCTCGTCTCTTGTCTTCGCTTCTCTTCTCTTTTCGTTCTCGTTCTCCTTCTCTTCTCTTCCCCCTCTTCGTCTTTTTCAAGCAGGCCATGCATTGGCGCACAGTCGCGCGTGTAGAAAAACGTATAAAAACCTTGGTTTTTCCACGCGTTTTGCGGGAACTCGCTGCCAATTGGGTGCTATATCGCTTACGCTGTCACGGCGTTATTCTAGGCAATGGCTCTTACACGACTTCGCTCTGACACCGCAACCTGTGCACCTTCCAAGGCATGTCGCGCACAAGCCCCTTGCAACCATTTCCTCGCTACTTTTTTTCGCTTACATGTCGCTTTTGCAGAAGCTCTGTGTTACACACGCGCTCTCTGCAAGTACTGTTCGCTGCCCACTCGCTGTAACACCAGCGCAGCTTTTGTTTTTGGCCAGTTGCTCTCCACTTACATGGCTCTTACACTACTTCGTTTTGACGCCACACCTCATTGACACAAACATCTCCAGCCAGCGTGCATGTTCCAAGTCCTGTCGCGCACAAACCCCTTGTTTTCACGCACTTTGATATCGTACACTCTGTTAGCTAACCTTTGCATAACCTGCGCACAAAAAACACAATAGCTACACACAGCTACACACGCCCGCGGGCCATGGCGACCTGCCGTGCGGGCTCGAGCTGATGGCCGGCGGCATGCCGAAGGCTGCAAATATAAATATATAATACAAATAATGGCCTGCAGATAGATTCCTAAGTTTCGCAGAGTCCAACCATTGAAACTTGACCAAACTGGCGAACTCAGAGGCAAAACAAAACACAAAGGTCTACCCGGCACTTGACCAACATAGTTACACCGATTCTTGAGATCTGGTTACACCGATTCTTGAGATCTGGAAAATTTTAATTGTGTAATCACGCATGCTTCGTTGCTGAATGACATGAGTTGTATCAACCATTGGAGTTTGCAAGTTGGTCTGGCTGAATGGAAATGGATGGATATTTTTCCGTTGTTTTTTCAGGCTTTTTCCGGTAATTGGTTCACGCTTTTTCCCCTACTGCTTTTGCTTTTTGCTTTTGCTTCTGCTGGGAGTGCTTTACAAGCACTAGGAGCTGCAGAAAGGGCAGGGGACGAAGCACCAAAGCCAGCGTGACAGAGAGAGCGAGACAGTGACAAAGCGAGGGAACAGAAAAGGTATCCCACTTACTATAGGGACTTCTTTGCGGTTGTCTTTGGGCTTCACTGGATAAAGACAAGAAACCAAGCCCAAAGAAACCCGAAACCAGTGAAGCCCAAACACAACCAGCACTAGGAGCAGCAGAAAGGGCAGGGGACGAAGCACCAAAGCCAGCGTGCCAGTGACAAAGGGAGGAAACAGAAAAGGTATCCCACTTACTAGGGACTTCTTTGCGGTTGTCTTTAGGCTTCACTGGTTTCGGGTTTCTTTGGGCTCGGTTTCTTGTCTTTAGGGCTTCTTCAGGCTTCTTCCGGAAAAGGCATCCCACTTAACGAAGGAGAAGTAGGAGTAAGGGAAGAGGAGAGAGGAACTATAATAGGGACTTCTTTGCGGTTGTCTTTGGGCTTCAGTGGTTTCGGGTTTCTTTGGGCTAAGCAAAGTAGAAATCCACCTTTGTGGCAGCGTCAAAACAAAGAAAATAGTACAGTAGTTGTGGTAACTGTGGTAAGACTCGTAGCGGGGTGGTCCGAGTGATAGAGGTATTGGAAATAGTAGGGGTGGTGGACGGTAGTGGGAACGAAAATAAAAGCGGGAGGGGGTGCGGGGGAGGGCGCAGCGCCTCCCCCACAATGCAAATCAAACATAGACAGCTCTGGGCTGCTTCGTTTCTTGATTGGTGTAATTGGGTGTCACAGCTCAAGGTGAAGGTCTTATCATCCAACTTTGTGGCAGTGTCAATGCAAAGAAGATAGTCAGCAGAAGCAAAAGCAGAAGCAAAAAGCAAAAGCAGCAGTAGGGGAAAAAACGTGAACCAATTCCCGGAAAAAAATACTGAAAAAACACACACACAGAAAAATAGGGCTCAAATTGCATCCCAAGATTCTTATGGCTCAATTGAATCAAGTTGGTTACACTCAGAGGCTCCAGCTGCTCGTTGATAGATTGGCCGTCTGATCATGTACGCTGCCGGGGGGGCATTTGTCTTGCTCATGATACCGGGTGGGCTCCCGCAGGTTTCGGTCATTCATGTGCGGTGGCACCTGCAAGCCGCGAGATCTAGCAAGTCACGCGGGGACGGCAAGGTGATGGAAAGTGCCATTTTAAAAAAACAAGAGTATTACAGTATATGCAGGATTGATGAAGCTGGCGTTGCCCAATCGGAGAGCCACAAGATGAACCACCAGCGGCGACACCACAAATCTGGAAGGGAAAGAAGGCAACAAGTTTGGTAGCAAGCCACTATTGGCAAACCAACTGACTGAAAGGCTACAATAATATAGATATAGATAGATATAGACTATAACGCCTAGCATGGCGGCCCCAAAAATCACTAATTATACCACGTATACAACCTGACAAAACGCATGAAACTTGAAACCACAAAAAGATCTTTGGTGGTAGTCATGGTAGTCATCGTCATCCAAGCTTTGATAGCAGGGCCTACTAGCATCAACAGAAAACCCATCCACCACATCGCAACCTGCCATGGCGAGCCTCCCACAAGCCTCGTGGCCAAGGACCAAACGGCCTCAGTTGCATCATCCAATGGATCCAACAATACTTGTATCCAACAACATGAGGGAGCCCTGAACCTGTGAGAAAAACATAGAAAAACGTTGCAGAATGACTTTAACAAAAACCCAGTGACATGGATGGACACTTGGACGGTTAATTACGAACATGGTCGCTCACATTAGCACTGCAATAGCTTTTGCAAAACGATTAGGCCGTGGAGCACGGCCTAGGCAATCCTTGGACCTAAAGAAAGCTGTCAAAATACCTAAAGCATTTAGTAATACAAAGTTCGGGCCAGCCCGAAAGCAAGCGCTGCGAGCGTGATCGCGAGGAATCTGAAGTCTTAGAGCAAGCAGCTGCGGCAACTGGCCATCAAAGGAGGAGTTCACCCACAGCAGTGGCAAGGTCGTGGCCTCTCAAAGTGGGGATGGCAATCCTTGTTGAACTCCTTGCTGACAAACGCGTAGAAATACTTCACGCAACAAATGAAAAGCATTCAAGCACGAAATCAAGTGAGAAACTCACCACCCACGCCCAAGATCCTCCCTTTCCAAACCTCTCAAGTTGCCGTTACCATGCTCCATGTTACCAACTCCATGTCTCAGTGGAACTTGATCCAGTTGACCCGTTGAACCTAGTTGACCCGTAGCAGTAGCAGTAGTCATCGTCGTGGTGGTGGTGGTGGGAGTGGTAGCTTGTTGGGGTCAACTCCCTACGTGGTTGCAATGAAGATCCTCAACAAGGGCAGCCTTCCGTGGCCAAGATAAGTCAACACCAAAGCCGAAGCCCATCAAACTGATTGCACGGTGCGGGCGGGATTTTTTACTGACCCACGGCTGTCGTCAGGAGCTGCTGCTCAGACAAAGAACCCAAGGTAGTCAATGCCTCCGGCATACGCTGAAGGGCTTGCAAATCTGGCAAGTTTGCAGTATCGTGATGTATCGTGTAAGGAGTGAGTTGCGACAGTTAGGACCACCCAAGCTCCTCTCATGTGTCCGAACCCTTGCCAGGTGCTCTCGATCCCGGTCCTCAGCAGCTTCTGGCATCGTTGCTTCACAGCCTGCAGCTACGGGGTCACAAAACCGTGGAGCTTTCGGAAAACAGCTGTCAGGTTTGGCCCCGTCTCCATGTGGCACACCTGCAGAATCAACCTTTCTTTTGTGAGTGCTCGATGTAATGATACAATGGTTACAAACTGATGTTGCAAAATTTTGTCCTTTCAGGATGAAATCCTAGTCCTTTTTCAACGCCTGCAATGAGTCCTCGTTCTTGTGCCCAAATCAGCCACGGTCGCCAGCCATTCTCGTCTGCTGACAAAGTGTTGAAGCAACCGACAACTACCTTGGAGTAGCTCTGTCAGTCTAACATGACTATACTCTGCAATTGGCTGGGTCTTTGACCATGGAGTAAAGATCCCAAGAATCAAAGACCCAGTTGGCAGGGTCAAAACATGTTACTTCCTTGCGATGCCAGGTCGCCCTTCATGTGGGCTTGGCCTCCACAACTCTGGAATGACCCCAGGGGTCCCGAAAACCGGCTACGGCACGTGTGGGGGTTCTGAACAAGGCTCCAAAGTCGAACAGATCGTGTGTGTGGGGGGGGGTGCCCGGCTGGTATGGCCCCACTTCCGTCCTTCCCATGTCTCAGCTCAGCTGCTAAGCCACGCTTGGCCCTGGTGAGGGTCACGTTTAAACGGCGCGTGTCACCGACAAAGCCCACCTTCCCTGCAGCATTGGCGCGGACAGTGGTCACTATGATCACATCCTGACATGAAGCTGAAAAAACAAACGGCAATTCATTGAAGTGATTGGAAACGGTGCATTCTCTTTCCAACATTCCTCTACGACTCTTGGCGACAGAATCAACGCCGTACAAAGAACGACAATGGAATAGCAAACGAGAAAACATGCTATTGTCGTTATCATGCGTTATGTCAATGACTGTAACAATGACTGTGTTCTGGATGTTTCTTTCATGTGTCCCTGCTTGTTCACCTAAATTTACCCGTGGTTCGCCCATGACTGATTGATACACATACAAAGTGTCAGACCAATGCTTTTCCTATTTTTTGGCCCATTGCTTTCTAGTTTGAGCTTTTATGCTGTTTCTGTGTTTCTCTAGTTTTGTCAATCCCTTGGCATATTATATCTTCGCAAACGGTGGGCAAAACTCTACGAGTGCACTTGGTGCATTCTAATAACGTTTCTCGTGTTGCTGCTGTCATCGCTGCTGGCCGATGGGCGGAAAGCTCCAGGTGAAGGAGCTTCGAGCCGCTTTACCATGTTTTACCTGAATCATAGAGAAATACACAACACATCAAATCACTACACGCAAGTGACACCACGAAAGTCTCCGTAATTATTGTTGCTACACATTTGCCATTTTAGTTAAACAATATATATATATACAGTATATATATACAATTATATACAGGGAGAAAAAAGAGAGAGAGGGAGAGCCTTCCCACAACGAATCATCCATCACCTGATCTGAAAAGCATCCATCACCCCCGTCCTTCTCACGGCCTTGGAAACCATCCACACTGCTCACCTCCATGTTGAGGCTGCCTGGTGCCATACGCTTCCCAGGTGGTGGACAGCCCAGGGTGCGCCGCAACAGCCTCGCTTGGGCTGCATAGGGTGTAATGATGCCCACCTCCTGGTCAAGGGGCTGGCTGCGGTTTGTTTGGAACGTGATTGAACATATTGTGCTGCCCAAGCTTCAACGAGAATGCAGTGTGGTATATAATGTTCTATTATAATAAATATATATATATATAAATAGTGTTTACGTTATAATTTTGAGTTGTCGAGATGTGAATGGCCATGGTCAATAGCAATTTGGGCTTGCTGGTCCTGTGCGCTGATATCGTCCCAGGCCAACAAGCTCTTCAGCAGTTCTTGCACCGCTTGCACCTCCGAACTATTGGTCCAGGAAGTTCCTGCAAGTGCGGAGTCGCTACATCTTCGACATCTTCTACCATCTTCCTCTCTTCTTTCTTCTCCCTCAGCTTCGCCGAAGGAAAGAAGTGTATTTTCCCGTCCTTCAGAGACCTCTCGTCCAGCAACCGGCAGAAACGTCACTGGGACATCAGCATTTGGCCAAGCGATGCCCTGTGGAGGCTTCCTCGCACTGCCTGTGACACCCGAGAGGATCTGACCTTTGTAATACCTGCCACAGCATCAGGCAGAAGGTGCCCCACCCACATTTGCCCTATGAAATGCACCAAAAGAAAGGAAACATAAGGAAACTATTCAATTTAGCACTTCCGCTCAAAGTGAGACACATAACGGAGGGAAACGCAGAGATGCAGGGATGCATGCGGTACTGAATGTTTAGCAAATATGGCTGCACGCCCTGACTGGCCAAACGTTCAAATAGTGAGGTCCCAAATCCTTCCACATCGACCGTGAGGTTGCTGATGGTAGGAGGCAGCTGTCGATGGTCACCCACCAGTGTCACACAGCCTTGAGACTTCATCTTCATCAACGGCACCAAGGCCTGAGCAAAACGCACTAAAACACTCAACACGTCAACCGCTGTCCGACGGCATTTTCTGGGATCCGCTTGGCAAGTGCAGCCTCACTCAATGAGTTGGGCAAAGCTTCGGTGACACATTGTTGGGACCTTTTCTGGGTCTAGTGAGTCCAGTGACATCATGGCTGACAGCAGAACAAATAGTAGAGAGAACTGCAACTGGGAGAGATTGTAAGGAAACTAGGTGCCTACTAGTAACTAGATGTAACTAGTACAAATTGCTGAGGTGCATGCTTCGGTATGGCTGTCTGCGCGTCAAAACTGAAGACTGTTCTGTTTTATGGTGGCTTCTCTTCAAAACAAGTGCAATTGGAATTGCTTCTCATGATCCCAGCACAAAACAACAAAAATGGACGTCCAAACATGCGCTGCAGGTGCAGCACCAAACATCTTCAGGCCCCATCGGGCCGACTCCTTATTCATCTTATTTCAGTCGGGCTACTGAAAGCTCAGTTGCTTGAGCTGCCTCATCCAAAAGAACTCGCGCGAAGCTCATCTGTTGAATCATGGGATGGTCAGCACCAAAGCAGGTGCAGCAAACCACATCCGCTTGGTTCAAAATGCCCTTCTGTACACCAAACCTCCTGGTTTTGTAGGATGCCCCAAACAAGGGCCAGTGACATCCAGTGACATGGGCGGACATGTTTTCCAGAACCTCCCCCCAAACAAAGTCAATGAAAACCCAGCAATGCGGGCAAAATTTGCACTGTATGACCCAACCCTTGTCAGGACTTGCGTCTTTGATGCGTCACATTCTCTCCTGTCAGGATCTGCATCCTTCACCATGTCGAGCACGTTGTACTGTTCCAAGTCCGTTCGTGTTGCTTCTGGCCGGCCCACCCGGACCACACTCAGCTTGGCCTTGGCACATCCATCCACCAGGTTATCCACGGCGATGTTGCTATCCGCAGCGCAAAGGATGGGCCGCTGGTTCGTGAAGACCCAGGCACGGACCAGCAAAAGAGCAGTAGTGGTCTTTCCGGTGCCTGGCAAGGGAGTGCCATCATGGGAGTTGTAGAGAGGCCTCTTAGCAGGCGGATGATCATCGAGAAGCAAATGGTATGATCTATATATACAGCAATCATTTGCCTCAAAGGCAGGTCAGCAAGTAGATACTCATCGCTTTATATCGCTTGGATCTTTGATCCCATTTACAACACCACTGCCTTGGGTCTTCATCACCTCTCTAGCCGGCTGCATCAACTGCCCCACCTGGAGGCCCTTGGATCAAGGTAAGTTGACGTCCACAGGCTGAAAGCAAGGCGCGTCGCTGAGAGACATTGGCCTCCAACAACAGAGGGTTGTGCGGAGAGAGGGAGAAAGGCACCTCCTCCGCAGCAAGCTCCGCTTCTCTGCCCGAAAAAGCTGAGTCAGCGCACAAGAGCAAATGCTTCACCTGAAAATGTTTCAGCGGCTTCTTACACACACGGATAAAGGTATATATATAATATTATATAATACTATATATAACTTAAATACACATGATACATCATCTTCGACTTACAGTTTCGCCGGTTTCGCCCCTTGCCTAAGAGGAAATCAACAGGGGCTGGGAACGCTGTTTTCGTTCAATTGTCATATATTCCAGGTCCAGTAGCTGCCCTTACTTATACCATACCCAACATATCTGATTCGGCCCAAGAGCGTGGAGGAGTTGGCCTAAGGAAACCAAGTAGTTCTGAGTTCTGGCGGTTAGTCCTTCCCAACGAGCAGGCGGAACCCAACAACATTTGTTACAAATGACATATGACAAAATCTGACCAAACCAACACACGAATCACCTTCAACCTTCAGAAAACACGACATCTAAGGTGAAACCATCCTCTACAAAGTACGATTCAACAGTTAGAGATATCAAAAGAAGCAAGCATTGCAAACGGAAAGCAAGCCAAGTTAGAATGCTGCGAAAGCAACCGCATTCCCAGTTACAACAACCACCAATTCCTCCATCCGAGCGGCCCAGGTGGGCTCCGAGCTGCTCAGGTCGCGTATGGCGTGCGCAACAAGGTGGGCGTTCCACTGGATTGGGGCGTTGCACACCTGACGGCCATGGGAGCGAGAGCAGGCACCCCATTGCCACTCGTCAGCAGGAACCCCATGATGGCTCGTTAAGGATGTGCACACTATTGCTGGGATGAGAAGTCCAGGTGTTCACATCTAGAAAAAACCAGTATCAGTATCAGGCAAGTTTATTGCCAATTATATAGCTCGTATATATCAGCCGAGTCGGGGTTTTGGAATGTTTCCCACTTTCCTGAAATCAAGGCACTTTCTGCAGTGCGTCCAGTTGGCGGCTGAGTGTGACATGGTTTGCAATCCTGGGACGCAACAATGGAAGAATCTCACTGCGTTCTGGGAAGTTCTGGCGCCAAGTGTGCAGCTAGGGTGGCCTCAAAATATTGCTAGAAAAGCTCAACCTGTGGAAGGGCAAACAAGAACGAGAGAGAGAGAGAGGGGTAGAGAGAAGCGTGCAGCAAAAAATGTTAGATTGGCAGTTGTTCAAAGTAAGAATACAGCCTTTAACACAGGCTCATGTATATAACTGCATAGCTGTGGCCTTTGCCGTGGTGCCTTGTCCTCAAAGACGAAAGAACACATGTCATGTTGGTCTGGAGCCTAGTGGCGAATGTCTGCTCTGCGGGAAACTCGGGTGATGTCACTCCAATTACATATAATTTGATATTTACTGATATATACATCTAATTGGTATTATTTGCTGTATATATTTTTGGCTGGCTACAGCTAGCTTGCAAAAAGTTAAATTTTTTATCATTGCTTTACCACGCAGTTGCAACAAACAGTTGTCAAGTAAGCTCAGAAAGCAAGGCTGCAACCAGCTTTACTGACGCAGGCAAAAAGAAACTGCGCAAACACACGGCCATTGCATTTAAAGCCTCCAGCACCGAAAAGTCTTAAACTTGTGCTTTGCTGATGTGACACAAGCCATGGGCAAGAGACTTTGGGCACTGGCTCCACAACCTCTCGTCTGTCTTCACTGGGGTTAGCATTGCCTGCGCCAATCTCACTTGTTGTGGAATAGGTATAGAATATAATGGAAACGCCCCGCGGCCCCGCTCACCCTGACTGTGTCACATGCATCATGTCCATGTTTGGCCCTCGCCCTTCCTCTCCATGTCTCCGGGTACTTGATAGTCACTGGCTGCAGTTGGCCCAGAACAGGCTCTGGTCCGCCACACTCACGCTTGATAGATATGGGGGCATGGAGGCCGTTCAGGCACAAAATAAGCGAACAACTCATTGTCAGTGAGCTGGCATGTTAAATATGTTAAAATGAAAGCAAGTAAGCGCAACAGCGCAACACGCGTATCGAGAGCACCCCTGTCTTGCCCATTTGGTCAAAAGCCGTGTTGTGTCACTGCCTTTCGGAATAAACGACGGAAGTCGCGCAGGCGCGCTGGGACATGCTGGGACGCAAACCCCCACTATATATCAACTCAAGCCAGCCTTCATCATTTTCCACCTGCGTTTGCTAGGATACACTGCCAGGGATGCAGCCTGTTCTTCAGGTCACTGACATCCCGGGCC